TGTAGCTGTAGTAAAATTAATATGGTTGTTTTCAGTACAGTGGGGTATGCTATAACGAATCTAATTGGTTCTAGAACCTTGTTCGTTATAGCATTCGTTCGTTATAGGATTAATCCGTTCCAGGCCACCAAATACAACCACTAAACACTGAAAAATATAATATAAAATTGTAAAAATTGTAAAAAAGTGCATAAATATGCATCTAAACCCCTGAAATAACCAATATCATTAATACTTGTAATAAAAAAACAATAAATTAGTAAAAAAAAAAAAAAAATTTTTTTTAAATAATGTTCGTTGTAGGAGTTTCGTTCGTTATAGCATTCTCAATTTTATAGGTAAAACCGTTCGTTATAGGAATATTCGTAGTAGGATCCGTTCGTTATAGCATACCCCACTGTAATGTTATTTAATGTTAATAAATGGAACAATAGAAGTAGCTAACGATAATGGTAAAGAAAAAAGAGAGATTGCGTATGTAACTGCGCATGCGCACACGTCAAAACATATCGTCATTACTCTACATAAGAATATGAAAGCAACACTTATTTACTGTTCATATATATTTTAATTAATGTTTCTGAATTTGTTTTTATTGAATTAATGTATGTGTGTGCAAAATTAACAATACAATTTATTAATAATACGTGGAATATTAGAGGAGACGAGACGGCTGCCGGCATTGTTTATGTTAAAGCTTACGAAACCAATGACTGATTGGTTCTACATATAAAACTGAAGAAAATAAGACCCTGAGTTTAGCTGTAGTAAAATTAATGTAAAAAAATAATATGGTTGTTTGAAGTACCTGTAATGTTATTTAATGTTAATAAATGGAACAATATAAGTAGCTAACCATTAATGGTAAAAAAAAAGTGAGACTGCGCGTATGTAAGTGCGCACATGTGAAAACATATCGTCATTACTCTACATAAGAATATGAAAGCAACACTTATTTACTGCTCATATATATTGAAGGGTTAAATGTTGTACTCTGTATAGACAAGCAGAGAGAGAGAGCAGCCGAACTGCCGGATGTAAACAAACCTTAATTTCCCGCGGCTTTTTTTTTTTTTAAGGGGATTAGCCCACCCGGGCATAGGTCACTGACCCACATTGGGGCCTGAGGGGCAAAAATTTAATACTCCTGTAATAATAATAATAATTCAGATAATAAAAAAAAAAAAAAAAACTGCCTATCTACCTATTGGACAAACTAAAATTGTTCCGGACCACGGGAGTTTCCGGACCACAGAATGCCGGACTACAGAGGTACAACCTGTATACAGTGTATTTGAAAGACTTAAGTGATTTGTGTTTATGTAACGATGTACCCTAGGGTCGTAACACAGCCTCGAATATGGGCTCGCTTACGGAATCCACTGACAAATATTTGTTTAGAGTATACCGATCGGAGACTGTAACCCAGTTACGGGGTAAACAAAGAGAAACAGCCCTGTAAATGCTTTTGAGTATGTGGCCTGCTTACTAATTGTGAACACATTTAATTTGAATTTTCTATAAACCAATCAGTTACAGTACAGTAATACTGTATCTCCGATAGCGGGAATCCCTCAAACCTGGTACAGTACTCTCCGATAGCCGGAATTGAAATTTTCTCTGAAAATCATTTCCAAAGCCGGATTTTTCCAGAAAATTCCGGCTTTGGGAACGATTTTCCGGAAAATTCTGAGAAAAATTTCCCTAGTACCCAGAAAATTCCGTACAATTCCGGGGATGGGAGTTTTTTCCGGGTTTCAGTGATAAAAATCAGGCAAAATTTCTGATAATTCCTAGAAAATTTTCTCAATACCCGGAAAATTCCGGGGATGGGGGATTCTTTTCCGGGTTCGAGAGTTGAAGTAATGGGTAATTTCTGGAACTTTAGGAACATTTTCCGTTACCCGGAAATTCTGGGGATGAGGGAAATTTTTCAGAGTTCGAGAGAGTCGTCTCGTTACCCAGAAACCTCCCATTCCCAGAAGTGCTCTGCACCAATTGTTCCAGCTAACGGAGATATTACTGTATTAGTATAGAAGAGGGGCATGGCTTATGGGCCAGGTTGGCGTGGAAAGGGTATACAATAGTACTGTACCGTAAGTTGCGGCGTGTAAGTCGACATTTTAAGCTAGAAAAAATCTCTCCAAAACCAGAGGTTGACTTAGATGCCAGATATAAAATGTGAAGCTTTACCACAGAGTGGTAAACAAGTGGGACAGCCTGCCTAATTTCTCGCTGCAGCACTGTTGTTTGAAGAGTTTGCAAACGCAACAACTTTCAGCTTCAAACTTGAGTCATATTTCATCCTTTTTGCCGGGGGAGCCATGGGGATAGGATATTTTCAGCTGTTTAAAAACTGAATACCGTGAGTGTTAAACAGCTACAACTGGAGAAAAAGACATCTACAGTGTTGTCAGGTTTGTGTGTGGGTAATGAGTGGATGCCAGCAAGAGAATAAAGCCACGATGGGTTAGTAAATTGCCATGTAGGCTTGTTCAGTGTACGGGGTGTCAATAAGCGGATGGCAGTCTAAGCTGTGTGCTGACAGACCCACAGTTTTGCAGCTGGCCGCGTGGTGTTGGTGGCGCCACTGGCAGTTTGTTTACACCAGTTGATGCAAATGGCTGACCATAAGCCAGGTGTACCGTAATGTTCTACAGGGGTCCGATTAATTACCCAAATGTACCCAAATATAGCCGCAATGAAGTCAAATAATGGTCCTACATGAATAAATCGGACTGCCAATCACTTGTCGACTAGTATTTGGTTTCACGAAGTCACAAAAAATTGACAAACTTAATTTAATCTGAGTTAATAGATCGAGTGCATGTACCGAACCTAACCTAACCTCGACTAGTATTTGGTGTCACGAAGTCACAAAAAATTGGTAAACTTAATTTAATCTGAGTTAATAGATTGAGTGCATGTACCTAACCTAACCTAACACAACTCTGATTAAATTAAGTTTACCAATTTTTTGTGACTTTATGACACCAAATAATAATCGAGAAGTGATTCACAGCCCGATTTACGCTTGTAGGACTATCATTTGACTTCATTGCGACTACATTTGGGTAATTACTCACTCTCTCGGCACCATCTATTAACTCCGTTTAAATTAAGTTTTCCATTTTTTTGTAACTTCGTGACGCCAAATACTATTCGAGAAGTGGTTGGCAGTCCGATTTATTCATGTAGGACCATTATTTGACTTCATTGCGGCTACATTTGGGTACATTTGGGTAATTAGTCGGACCGGTTCTACAGTACTATCATATACATAACGGTACTATCAAGGTGCTATACTGGTATGCTGTGTAAACAATTAATATTTTATTGAAGGTGCTGATTTTGGCTTGGTGTTTACCAGAGTTCTTACGAAGATAATTCGTTAACCAAAATTTCGTTAATCGATTCATTCGTTAACCGAGGGACCACTGTATATAAAATATAGCTCATACAAAAAGGGAACTGATTTGTGCCAGAAATGAAGTCAAATTCGTTCATAACACATCAAAAGCCATCAGAAAAACATTTTCAACTTAAATTTCGTATAGTGGCAACAAGTGAAAATTTACCTTTATATTTTCATTATATTTTTTTTAATTTTTCTTTATTTATGATCATAAATCACCTGTAGAGGGCAGGGTATGAAGAATGAGGAAAACTGAGGGGTATAACATGGTGAAAAACTGATCATGACACTAAAATGATTTTTATTGCTTTGTACATGAAGAAATTAATTATTCACTGTAAATGTTCCTCTGAAATTCTGCTGAATCACCCCCTATGGGTCCGACTAATTACCCAAATGTACCCAAATGTAGCCAAATATAGCCGGAATGAAGTCAAATAATGGTCCTAGATGAATAAATCGGACTGCCAATCACTTCTTGACTAGTATTTGGTGTCAGAAAGTCACAAAAAATTGGAAAACTTACTTTAATCTGAGTTAATAGATCGCGTGCATGTACCAACGGAGCGAGGAATTACCCAGATGTAGTCGCAGTGAAGTCAAATAATGGTCCTAGATGAATAAATCGGACTGCCAATCACTTCTCGACTAGTATTTGGTGTCACAAAGTCACAAAAAATTGGTAAACTTAATTTAATCTGAGTTAATAGATCGAGTGCTCGTACTTAACCTAACCTAACCTAACCTCGACTAGTATATGGTGTCACGAAGTCACAAAAAATTGGTAAACTTAATTTAATCTGAGTTAATAGATCAAGTGCATGTACCTAACCTAACCTAACCTAACACAACTCAGATTAAATTAAGTTTACCAATTTTTTTTTACTTTATGACACCAAATAATAATCGAGAAGTGATTCACAGCCCGAATTACGCTTGTACGACCATCATTTGACTTCATTGCGGCTACATTTGGGTAATTCCTCGCTCCGTCGGTACATGCACGCGATCTATTAACTCAGATTAAGTTTTCCAATTTTTTGTGACTTTCTGACACCAAATACTAGTCGAGAAGTGATTAGCAGTCCGATTTATTCATGTAGGACCATTATTTAACTTCATTTGCGGCTATATTTGGGTAATTAGTCGGACCGCCCCGTTGTTTGCTTACAACTGTCCAGCTAAGTCCGAGCGTACTCTCACATCCAATAAAAGCGTAAAATTATACCATGACGTTTCAACAAAGATGCTTTCACTGGTACCATATATCAATCAAATGATGTACTCGCTGTTTAATATGGCGGGGGTCCAGCCCCCTGGCTAGAAAGTTAGGTAAGGTTGGGTAGCGTTCTTTGGTTGGTTCAGTCAGGTTCTATTCGGTTCTAGTAAATGTAGCCTCTTTTAAAATACTAAATATAATGATAAGAACATTTGCGGTAAAAATGAATGGAATCAAACAAGTCCTGGTGGTAGTGCTGTTCTCAGACTTTACCATATTATTAACTGTGGATACTAAAGTTCCCAACACAGTAATGAATGATAATACATATACGTACTGTACTGTAAATTTCACCGGCCCCGTTACCTTGTGATCATGTCGTGTGTCCAGAGCTTCCCAGTTTCCCTGTGACTTATACAGAGGTCGCAGGTCATAAACATTGCCAACTTCATCTTCTAGTACACACTGTGGACGTTTTGGTGAGCACACTGATGAGGTCCTCACGGCAAATGTCAGCGAGGTTTCATTCTCCTCGACAAAATAAATGTCTGTCTTGGTTGCAGTTCGATCACAATGTAGTTCTATTTTGACAGTCATGTTTTGGTGCTGATATTTGAGTGCAAGAACCTCCTCTTTCCATTCCAGCAACATATCTTTGGTTGTACCTAGAATGACAGGGCTGCTGCCACTATTCACACTGCAGATTGTTGCATCTTCTTTTCCACAACTACCATTTGTAACAGGTCCACATATGTTCATCTCATACGTAGTATTTTCTCGCTTAACAGTATAGTAAGTTGGCTTGTGTAACATGTGAAGGTTAAGTACATAGTCAGAGTTTGAGAACTGAACAGTACAAGTTGTAGAATTCCTTGCATCCAATTTCTTTGGGCACGCTGCCATGGATCTCCAAACAAAAATTAGATCACAAGCTTTGTCGTTCATCAGGATTGGCTCTGAGACACCATCTTCGGAGTGGCACATAAAGAAGATGGAAGTTGTATAATTCTCGTCCCTTCCTCTAACCGTGCATTTCTCGCCACTGTCATAGACATACTTGAAGTAACCTTCTTCTGTTGAGTTGAATCCTGCTACTGGTACCTGCCCTCTATTGCTTACGAAAACATTTGTACCGTTTCCTTCTGGATCATGAACAGCACACACCCCTGTATTATTTCCAGCACAGCCTTCAGGAACATTCCTCAGAGGATGACACAAAGATAAGTAATACCGCTTGGTCCCGGTGTGTAAATGTTGTATCACTTCCCAGTAGTCTTGTGCTGCTAGTTCACTAAGATCATATTCGCGATCACCATCAACAACTTTGCACTGTGAATCAGCTGACTGTGCACCAACAAACATAATTAAAAGGGAAAAAGTCAGAGACAGTACACCTAGTCGAAACATCTTGCTCACAGGTTTACACAGTAGCATTAACTGCAGACCAGACGTCACATGAGTAGGAAAATCACACTACACAGCTGAGTCATCAACAGCGCACTACGGCATAACCTTTACTTTATCTTCGTTCGTGTTGTAACACGCTAACGATGTTGGGACACAAGTCTCCTCTGAAATAGCTTATTTTCATTCTCTCACTTCCTGTAGAAATAATTATGCTGTTATTCCGTATCAGTAATTTTATCCTTCCGGTCGACTTCCGTTCTGTCATGAACGTGAGCCACACAGCTTCACTTAAATTTACCCATCAAAATTACTTCAAATGAATGTTGACGGTCTTTAAGAATTCTTTTGTAGGAAAACTTCTTCAGCGTTGCATTTAAGTTTGAAAACGGACCATTCAGGTTGTGCAATTCACATATTATTTTTACTAATAACATTGATAAATAAAACGAACAACTTAAATATATTTTCAAATTAATTTTATTATTATTATATATATATATATATATATATATATATATATATATATATATATATATATATATATATATATATATATATATATATATATATTGCATCCATGTCTAGGCCTTATTAATTTATGGAACCAGCTTTACTGAATTTATTTTCTTGCCATTCATAATCAACCAAATCATGTATAGCTTACCTTGCTTCACATATATATCTCGCCTTTCTATAGTTTCTTCATGGAAAGAAATTTGTTTATAAAACATTAATTTACAATAACCAAGTCAAAGCCACACCAAGGGATCCGAACATAGAACAAAAACGTGAAATGTTTTCTGAAAAGTGGTCATATTTGTTTGGAAATTTTGTTATATAATAAAATGAAATCACACATATAGTCGCACTGAAGTTTTGTGAAAAAGGTTAGTGACTATAGTGTACTCTATTTTTAATCAAAACATAACAGACGACGCAGTTTGAGCACAACATTTACAGGATTTTATAATTTGGTGTATAATGAAAGTTTTGATGTATTTTTTTACACAATTTGAAAGCAAAATTAATTAAAACTAAAGCAAGAAAATAGAATATATTAATTGGGATACATATATAATTATTTAAAGTACCCAATAAAACTAATGTATAAAATAATTAATAGAGAGAGACAATAGTTCTCTTTCACTAATATTGAGGTTGTTTGACTGCAGAAATCAGCTGAGACTTGGTGGTCGTATCATTATTATCATATCGTGAGGGCGTGAGTAGCAGCAGGTGGGAGTGGGACAAGGTAAAGACGTCTTCGTGCAATTGCATCTATTGTATAGTGTTGTGACAGTCATCATCAACTCATAATGCATGTGAAGAATAGCTTGATTTAAAATAAAGATAAAGGTGTAGAAGAGGGTGACCACCAGAAGGAATTAATTGAATTTTTTTTCTACACTAATATCTTGATACTAAACACAAAAATGGAAACGACAATGCATATAACCTAATAGAACCCGACCTAACATACCAAACCTATGGGTTTGTTAGATCAGGTTCTATGCATTATCGTGTTCATTTTTGTGCTAAACAACTGGTATTACTGCATTTTCACACCCCACATTTCTACCACTAATCTATTATCATATTCGAATAAGACGTCTAATTATAAGATAATTTTCATCTATTACATTGCCGGGGGAAATGTATAATAACGGTAATAGCTTATCCAAAATTTTCTCTATTTTCTTCCATTAATCTTCCGCCATTATCGCCTGCCTCTCCTCCAACACTGCTTGTCTCCTGCGTCTCCATAAATCATCACGCGCATGCGTTCCCGTACACGTCACGCGGCCAGTCAAAAGCGTTTTTGTTTTTGAAACCAATTAAAATGATTTTGGGTTTAATTCGCGGTATATTTGGCCCAGTCAAATTTGAGTTTTACTTTGGGTCTCATATTTTGAAATTCAAGTTCAGTAACTTCAGTTCCGACCATGGCAGTCTGCGATGGGTGTCACTTCAATTATATGGAGCTAATTGCGAGTTTATGGGAAAAAGATGAAGAAACTAGCATTTTTTCGATTGCATGGTGTTCTTCCAACCTCAGTAAAGTGTACTAAGAGCAAGACTGAATGTAAATATCGCAAAGACCAACACATGTGGCGTGTAAGAATCTCAGAATCCAATGACGAACAAGAACCAGCCCAATAAGGTAAGAAATAGGTGATTCCATCATATGGTGAGTCAGTTAGGTTAGGTTAGGTTAGGTTTTTGTTTTTCTAGTGTTTTTTTGGTGTATTTTGTCATGATTTTTTTTTCGGAAAACGTCCAACGAAAAAAAATCGAAAAACCCCGCTAATTTCCCCCAGAAATGAAGGTCATGTTCGGTATAAACACACTCAAATACACTAGGAAAATATATTTTTTACTTTCTAACAGAGAACGGTGTGACAATGTAAATTTACCCATATGTATAATAACGGAGATAGCGTATCCAAAATTTTCTCTATTTTCTTTCATTAATCTTCCGCCATTATCCATCATCACTACATATAACACCACCCATCATCACTACATATAACACCATCCATCATCACTACAGATAACACCACCCATCATCACTACATATAACAACATCCGTCATCACTACATATAACAACATCCGTCATCACTACATATAACACCATCCGTCATCACTACATATAACACCATCCATCATCACTACATATAACAACATCCATCATCACTACATATAACACCATCCGTCATCACTACATATAACACCATCCATCATCACTACATATAACAACATCCATCATCACTACATATAACACCATCCATCATCACTACATATAACAACATCCATCATCACTACATATAACACCATCCGTCATCACTACAGAGCGGTAAAATAGTTTCCGAGATTCTCGTACGGACACACAAACAAATAAACAAACAGACTTCTTTGTTTTATATATATATATATATATATATATATATATATATATATATATATATATATTAATGTTATGCAAATATGCAAAATTAGTTGTCACGGCTGCTTTAACATAGCGCCAAAGTGTGTGCCGGGCGGGGGAGCAGGATGTCTTCGGGAACTACCTCTTTTTTTTAATGCTCAGATATGGCAACCCTAACCATGATGTCAATATATGTAGGAAGCGATCTCTCGGATTCAAGCATAGTCACAAGAACATGCTTTTGTGAAAGGCAAGAGGATGCACGTTGGACGTACTATTAATAACTGAGGTAGATGTGATAAACATTTGAGTGTTTATTTTGACAACGAACTGGAGTTTTCGGATTACATTAAGAAAGCCAGTTATGCTAACTAACTAGCGGAGTTAATACGAAGGTCCTAAACATAATTAGATGATGCGTCTCTAATAAGGGTCTTCAAAGGTGTAGAATGTTGTGCTACGTCACTTTTGAGGCATGCCAAAACTGCCAATTAACTGAGAATGTCCAAAGAAGGGTTACCTAATTGGTGCTGACGCTACAAAAGGGTAAAGGGCAATATAGGGTTATAAACACCCAGGGGTCACTACTTGGTCAAATACACATATCTAGTTAACGGACGGTCGCCCCCCATGGAGGTTACGACCTAAAGTTAGAGAAGCTATGTTCACAGGAAACTGTCTTGAGATAATTTCTTAGAAGTGTGAGTTGTAAAGACATTGTATAACCTGCCAGATGATGTAACAGCACCAAGCATTCAGGCTCGACCAACACAGTAACATGTTCAGTAATGTACTATACAGTTGCCTCCAGATAACGTATACTTACAGCTCAGGGTACGTGAGGGTAATGCATGGGAATGAAACCATGAAATTACCCTGATTGTGGTAAGATACAAACATTAAAGGAGGTAAAAAGATAATGAACCTTGTAGTACGTGTTATGCAGCAGTTTTGTGTGGCCGGTAAACGGTAATTCACGGTTTCACTCCTGACGGGTCCGACTAATTACCCAAATGTAGCCAAATATAGCCGGAATGAAGTCAAATAATGGTCCTAGATGAATAAATCGGACTACTAATCACTTCTCGACTAGTATTTGGTGTCAGAAAGTCACAAAAAATTGGAAAACTTACTTTAATCTGAGTTAATAGATCGCGTGCATGTACCGAGGGAGCGAGGAATTACCCAAATGTAGTCGCAGTGAAGTCAAATAATGGTCCTAGATGAATAAATCGGACTGCCAATTACTTCTCGACTAGTATTTGGTGTCACAAAGTCACAAAAAATTGGTAAACTTAATTTAATCCGAGTTAATAGATCGAGTGCATGTACCTAACCTAACCTAACACAACACAACTCAGATTAAATTAAGTTTACTAATTTTTTTTACTTTATGACACCAAATAATAATCGAGAAGTGATTCACAGCCCGAATTACGCTTGTATGACCATCATTTGACTTCATTGCGGCTACATTTGGGTAATTCCTCGCTCCCTCGGTACATGCACACGATCTATTAACTCAGATTAAAGTACGTTTTCCAATTTTTTGTGACTTTCTGACACCAAATACTAGTCGAGAAGTGATTGGCAGTCCGATTTATTCATGTAGGACCATTATTTGACTTCATTGCGGCTATATTTGGCTACATTTGGGTACATTTGGGGAATTAGTCGGACCGCCCATATGACTGCTGCGTTGCTACGTCTCGTACCCGAGTCCTCACACACCCCGAGGCCGTGGTATGTTCATGTGGAGGCAAATGTACATTCATGTGCCTATACACGCCCAATACTTGATACTAGAAAGACAGCCAGTCGTGTAACAGGTATTAGCTACGCTGAGAAAATCATAATGCCTCCCGCGGCGTCACATATCGTCCGTCTCCGGGTAATTTGTGTCATAATATATATGTTGCCGCGGTGGGTATTATGATTTTCTCAGCTTAGCTAATATCTGTTACACGCCTCGCTGTCTTTCTCGGGATAGGGAAACTGTCATCCCTCTAGGTTAAAATTTGAAATATTTGAATTAGATGTGATTCGAATATAGTGCGAGATATATGTTGTTAACTTGGTCGGACAATTTGTGTCAGATTGTGTCCGTTCCGGCCTTGATGTGAACGCGCCCTTACTCTATAGTTGAGGTTCGAAGGTGAAGGTCTGGCTGGAGACAACAGTTATCGTTACGAGTTATGTAACCAAGACGATGGAAGATACCAAATTTCTTTTCCCACGTGGTTACCAGAAAGACGGGAAACAATTTACCTGGTATTGAAAGTAGCCAATACAGTGCAGCTGTAATGGAAATATCGTTACCAGAAGTGATACTAAATTAAAGTCTACTGATCTACGTTTAAGGTTAATTAAAGTCAGGCCCTAGTTTTTTTGGTGATTATCCCAGTGTGTTGTGTAATGAACTCTAGGGAACCCTTCAGTGTCTTGGTTAAAAGGTTGAAGGAGGAAGAGGAGATTCTTAATTTATACGTGTCAAGTACCTGAGTCAAGTATCAGTGTCAAGTATCAGTGTCAAGTACCAGTGTCAAGTATCTGTGTCAAGAACCAGTGTCAAGTACCTGAGTTAAGTACCAGTGTCAAGTACCAGTGTCAAGTACCTGAGTCAAGTACCAGTGTCAAGTACCAGTGTCAAGTACCTGAGTCAAGAACCAGTGTCAAGTACCAGTCAAGTACCAGTGTCAAGTACCTGAGTCAAGTACCAGTGTCAAGTACCAGTGTCAAGTACCTGAGTCAAGAACCAGTGTCAAGTACCAGTGTCAAGTACCTGTGTCAAGTACCAGCGTCAAGTACCAGCATCAAGTACCAGTGTCAAGTATCAGTGTCAAGTACCAGTGTCAAGTACCAGTGTCAATTACCTGAGTCAAGTACCTGTGTCAAGAACCAGTGTCAAATACCAGTGTCAAGTACCTGAGTCAAGTACCAGTGTCAAGAACCAGTATCAAGTACCTGAGTTAAGTACCAGTATCAAGTACCTGAGTCAAGTACCAGTATCAAGTACCTGAGTCAAGTACCTGAGTCAAGAACCAGTGTCAAGTACCCGTGTCAAGGACCAGTGTCATGTACTAGTGTCAAGTACCAGTGCCAAGTACCTGAGTCAAGTACCTGAGTCAAGTACCAGTGTCAAGTACCTGAGTCAAGTACCAGTGTCACGTACCAGTGTCACGTACCAGTGTCACGTACTAGTGTCAAGTACCTGAGGCAAGTATCAGTCAATAATCTCAGAGTTTCTGACGGGGCATCCTCCACTCAGGCGGAACTAATAGCCCTCCTTGCTGCCCTTCTCGCTAAGGAAGACGCAGATGGTTTC